TTTATGAGCTCCCCAAAAGACAAATTGCACCGTCGTGGTTCATTATTAAAGTACCCCAGCAGAGCAGAGATGTACAGCTGTAATCAAAATGCAAGAGGCACTGAAGAAGACAGAAGGGCAGTTTTGTTTAATGTCTTTATCAATGATCCAGACGAGAGGATTGAGTGCACTCTCAGTAAGTTTGCAGACAACACCAAGTTGGACAGGAGTGTTGACCTGCTCGAGGGTAGGAAGGTTCTTCAGAGGGATCTGAACAGGCTGGATCAATGGGCTGAGGCCAATTGTATGAGGTTCAACAAGGCCACGTGCTGGGACCTGCAGTTGGGTCACAACAACCCCATGCAACACTACAGGCTTGGGGAAGAGTGGCTGGAAAGCTGCCCAGTGGAAAAGTACCTGGAGGTGGTGGTCGACAGCTAGCTGAATATGACACAGGTGGCCAAGAAGACCACTAGCGTCCTGGCTTATATCAGAAACGGTGTGGCCAGCAGGACTAGGGTAGTGATCGTCCCCCTGTACTCGGCACTGGACACTCGAATACTGTGTTCAGTTTTGGGCCCCTCGCTGCAAGAGAGACATCGAGGTGCTGGAGTGTGTCCAAAGAAGGGCAACGAAGCTGATGAAGGGACTAGAGCACAAGTCTTATAAGAAGCAGCTGAGGGGACTGGGGTTGTTTAGCCTGGAGAAAAGGAGGCTCAGAGGAGGCCTTATCCCTCTCTACAGCTAACTGAAAGGAGGTTGTAACGAGGTGGGTGTTGGTCTCTTCTCCCAAGTAACAAGCAATGGAACAAGAGGAGACGGCCTCAAGTTGTGCTGAGGGAGGTTTAGATTGTATATTGGGCAAAATTTCTTCACCAAAAGGGTTGTCATGCATTGGAACAGGCTGTCCAGGGAAGTGGTTGAGTCACATCCCTGGAGGTATTTAAAAGACGTGTAGATGTTGCACTTAGAGACTAGGTTTAGTGGTGAAGTTGGCAGTGTTAGGTTGACCGTTGGACTCGATGATCTTAAAGGGCTTTTCCAACCTAAGTTATTCTGTGATTCTAAAATACAAGAAAAAGTGATAAATGTCAGCCTGACAGAGGCAATGCCAGTGGTGATAATAATACCAGCGCTTCATGGTGTGGATTCGGTACAAATTTTGCAAGCCCATCTGTCCATGGCACGTTCATGGTTTAGCCGTGGCTTGCCCCTGGCCTGGGAGGCAGGGTAAGGTCCTGGTAGGGACAAGGGGCCAGCACGGGGCCAGCAAGGCTTTTAAGGTAGTGCTGCTGCCTGGGGAAATGCTTGTCTGACTTGAGCCTCGCAGGCAAGGCGTTGAGGACAGCCCGGTGCTGGGCAAGTCGGTGTGTTGCTGTATTGGAAGGAAGAATAATCTGGGAGTTGAATTACATGTTGCGATCCCACCACCTGAGAGTGGAAATTACAACCAGGGCTGGGCTGGGATGCTGCATCAGTCAAAAAAATGTACTGATGTACAACTAAGTCATGGCTTGTACTGGCAAACAGAAGTAGTATTACAGTCTTCTGTTATTTTTAAAGCCCATACACATTGACCCTCTCTCTAAGGAGGCACAGTATTGCTCTCCCTTCGCATGTGCTTGTTTCCCCTGTGTAGTCTGTGGGTTACTTGTTCAAAAAAGCAGAGAATCCCTAAAGTCTTGTAATTCAGCAGCATTGAAATTTAAATGTGTGCTGGAGTCGTACAGGTAGAATCTTGTTCTCAAGTCAAAAGTGATTGAAGTGCTTCTTTCTGATGGACTTGTGTTTCTATTAGACTAGCCCAGGCAAAATAAATGTTACGGTTGTCAAATGAACTCAGTTTAGCTCATCAAACTGCTACTTGAACATTAATTATTTTTAACAAAAACAAACAAACAAAAAAGAACAAAATTTCAAAGCTTTGCATTTAAACTTCAGTAATTACAATAAAGAAATGAACGAAAAGAGTTTCCAGGGCATGAGCAGCTCTATGTATGCCTAAATAGTAAGAATTAAATATTATTTGTAATGAAAAATTGAATTGAAGGCAATAGGAATCACATGCAAAGTGATTACTATTGCCCAGATTTTCACAACCCTAAATAATTTATTATAATTCTGTATAATGAAGGACCATTACATTAGACAACCACCCTTCTCCCCAGCTCCTTCTTTCCTTCTGAAAACCACAGGGGAGTTTGTTCCAATGAGTTGTTTGTTTCCATGAAACTCAGCAATTGGTTGCAAAATGAAGCCTTACTTGAAATGAGAATTTGCGTTACCAGGAGGATACTCTTACCTTATTTTCAAGGAATCTGATTTTATAAGAGATGCACATTTTGTGTATAAAAGTAAAATGTAACATCATACTTTCAATTATATGAAAATGTCCAGTATTTCTTTAGTGTATTGAGATGAGTTGGTTGATATAATGAGACTTAAAAAAAATATTATTTTTTAAAAAAATTAATTACACACTCACACATACTGTTACCGATACTGCAGCCCAGGCTGTGTTCCCTAGAACTTTAGACCTATAGCTTTCCATCTTACTTTTGGTGGCTGTAGCTCCAGGGGTACATCAGTAATCGCTACTTTGGCTGAAATGATGTAGGCTTGTTTTTTTCAGCAGTGCAGTGTACCATTAATTGTCTTCTAAATTCGTGCAGACAATATTCTGATGATGTGACAGAGTGTTAAGGTGAATGGAATAGCTTCATACAGGGGTTATCAGAAGTCAGATACATGTCACAGGGTTGTACGCATTATTATCTGCATAGCTTGTGAAATCAGATCTAGTTTGCTGGAGTAAGATGCACTCCAGGACCGTATTTTTTTTTTCCCCAGTTTTATAGAAATCTTTGCAATAAACACTGCTCTGAATGTTTTGCATGCTTGAATAGAAAAGTAAAACTGCAGTTCTGTATGAAGTCGTATGTCCTAGGAGAGTGAAGTCAACAGACTCGGAGACTCTTCAGCAAAACACCCATGTGTTTGCTTGGTGCTGAGGTACTTGGCTAAATTGAAGCATTAGCAATTCCTTATGTTCTGAGTGACTGTTGGTGTGTGGCAGGATGGTCCCATACAAAGACAAGTATAGCTAAAATCAAGGTGCAGATTTCTTCAAATTTCAGTGCAAGATTTGGGTGCGATACCACTGGGAGCAGAGACTTTGTTAACAGAAGTTGCAGATTTTATGTTTTGGGTTACTGGAGAGTGTTTTAACTCATTGCTTTTGCAAGTTTATTTTGGACTCTTCTAGAAGGCATTTTTGTTAATAATTTGCAGGCATTAGAATACATCATTGAAGGATAAAGATAACAAAATCGTTTTTTTCATAGTAAACTAACTGCCTGGCTTTGAAAAGCTTCAAATAAAAAGCACTGCAATATAGCAAAGAAATTAATGTGAAATACACATCTTGGTGATTAGCAAAGGTATATACATCAATTTGCTGAAACCTGCCTTCCCCCAATCCATTGGATATAGATGATTTTTTTTAAACTGACTTTTTAATTGTAAGCCTCAAGGGCCACTTCATCAGCTTCCCTGAGACAACCCTCTATGGAACAATAAACTTGTAGTCATCTCATTTTGATTAATTAACCTGTTATTACATCCGTGCAGCCATTGGGCCACCTTGGTTATTTCATTTAACACACACAGGCTGTAGTTTTTTGGAGGTTACAGACAAATGTGCTTCAGGGAGCTGATGATTTATACCAGCTGAGTCATGTGCTTTCACAATCCAGTGTCTGTTCAGTATGTCGACTTCTTGAAAGTACTCTATAATTTTTCCTTTTAAAAAAAATATTAGGGGGGGTTGGGGGCTTATTTAATTGCAATGCCAGAATTGCAGAGATTTTAGTGTAATAAATCATGTTGCTTATCAGCTGAGTTTCTTCTTATTTGTTAGTACTGAAGCCGTGAACATTGTTTATTTCATTAGCATGTAAATTTTTGTCTTGCTGCTGAAAACAGCACAATATCTTTGGTCAGTTATCTCTTTGGTAAAGAGCCTTTTTTCCCCACTTTAATCTGACCGAGATACTCAGGTGATCCATGAATCATCTTGTTCCCTGGCTGATAAGCTCCAGTTGCTCATCAACCTTCTGGGCTAAGCTGAATTCTTCTGGCTGATGAAATGAGGCTGCATCAACAAAAATAACTAAGTGGATTGTGTTGCTGTTAGTACTGTAATTCAGTAGAAGTACTCTCAAATTATTTGAAACAATGCATTGGTGTCAGATTTGTGTTGTGTAGAAAAACTAAGTGTTTCAAAACACTTCAAACCTTCTCCCTAGCACTGTGCAGATGGGAAATGTAATTGTCCCTCCCCATCCTTGCACTCCTCTTCCAGGAGCTGAATCCACAAACTCCTGACTTCATGTTGCACCACACACGTCTTTATGGATCCTGCAAGTTTCACACTGGGTATATGGAAGTTAGTGTATTAAACGAAAGTTTTCGTGATACAATACGTGTCTGAGATGCACCGTTCAGAAACGGTTTCTTTTTCTGCAAACAAAGCCTGCCACTCTTTCATGAAAGCTGCCCTGTGCCTAGCTAAAGGTTTAAAAGGATGAAGTACTGGAAGCAAAAATAACAGTTTTGTTTTTCTTTTTGTTTTTCTTTCAGTGGGCGAGTTTGTGAGTGATGCCCTTCTGGTACCTGACAAGTGCAAGTTCCTTCACCAGGAAAGGATGGATGTGTGTGAAACTCACCTACACTGGCATACTGTTGCTAAAGAGGTACGTTCATCTCTCAAAGTTTCCTGCCTTCCTTCTTTAGAGCTGTATCACTCTTCTGAAGACGAGTTTAAATATAGCAGTGACACGGAAAGCAAAAAGCAATACCCACAAATGTTTGAGTGAATGGCTTTTTGTTCTGCTTTATGAGTTAGGAAATAGGAATCACTCTGCTGAGCACATTAGAGTCCACTTTTGGATACCTAATGTTGACCTTTGAACATTGACCCTGTTTCATAGCACTATTTTTTTCCCCACATCCACTCCCAAACCCACTGTGTTTTCTGTCTCCTCTGGCTTACTGCGTTAGCGCTGCTCTGGAGCTAAAGATTGATCACTAATGCCTAGTTGTCCTCTGTATGGATATTGGTATGACATCTTCTTCACAAGAGCTCACAGGCCTCAAAGAATTCAACATAAAAGGGTAGGAGAGCTGATAAGAGATTTCACAGTCAAGCACAGAGTTTTTACAATTTACTGGCACTTTCCTGAAAACAGAAATAAACCTAATGTTGTAATTGCTAACACGTTTTGGACAATTTTGTCCTTATGTAGAGAGGTTGTAGGAATAAAAACTGGGACAAGCTTCAGTAAAGCTTCTGGCTGCTGTGTTGTTTGGAATCTCTTAGTTTGTATGTTATCCCACCTTCTGGAGATGAAAATTGAAATGTACTTAGCAGCTTTTCAGATTTTCTGTTCTTACTTGAATCATACTGTTGCCCCTCAAACGAAACATTTGAAGCACCAACCTACATGCAGGCAAATTCTAGTCCATTCTAAGTATTCGCAAACTGGGAACATCATCACTGTGCACCAGTGAAGTGTTTTTCTTTTTTCACCTCTCCTACATTGCCATATCTTTCTGTTCTACCTCACTCTATCTTTAAGGTATAATTATGCACAACTGACTGTTTTCCAAACAGGGCTAGAGGGTACTGTATTGGCAGAGGTATCAGACCAGTTGCAGTGTATTTCCAGTATGTCAGATATTTTAAACATTAACCTGTCTTGCAATGAACTCTTTGATAGCATTAATGCATCGGGATCAGGGTTAATACATCAAATTATTATTCTGCCTTCAAATTTTCTGTTTACAAGGCAGAGCTTGTGAGGTTTTTAGGCAAGAGGATATGGAGTTGTCAGGTTTTTAGGCAAGAGGATATGGAGTTGGCAGGTATATGGGAGGGAGACATGTCTTTCTATACTGGCAATGACTAAAGGGCAGGGAAAGGGAGAGCTTGTTGCTTACAATGGTCATGTGGACACAGATATGGAGCTACCCGCAGCGCAGGTAGTGGATGCACGCGTGACCACTCTAAATTTGTGTTTCAAAATTCACAGATCATGCAGTTTACCAGCTTCAACCTCCTAAGGCAACACGCAGCCCCTTACATTTTCTTGAGGTCTATGATGTTTTTTTCCAGCTTTCTCCATGACAATATTGTTGCTGTTTTCTTTCTATTTTCTGTAGTCCTGTAGTGAGAAGAGTATGAATCTGCATGACTACGGCATGCTGCTGCCCTGTGGAATTGACAAGTTTCGTGGTGTGGAGTTTGTTTGCTGCCCATTAGCAGAGGAAAGTGACAATCTTGATTCAGCTGATGCTGAAGATGATGATTCAGATGTCTGGTGGGGAGGTGCAGATGCAGACTATGCGGATGGAAGGTAAGAGTGACTTTCTGCCCTTCAACTTGTTATTATCATCTTACTAAAGATGCCAAAAATCTGTCTGAAAGACCTCGGTGTGGAAGAGTCACCGCTCCTTATAAGTGAACTTGCAGCTACAATGGTTGAAAACATTGATGTTCTACTCATTTGTTTTTGATTTTCTACAGAAAAGCTTATTGTTAATGTAGTTACTGCACTTTTTGTGCTTTCATCTTTTCTTCTATGAAAAGTATTGCCGTGTTGATACCAAAAATGCTTGAATATGTACATTTTGACAACTAAATGGTAAATCCTGTACTCTTAAGATGCTTCCTGTGCCATCTGGGGTACTGCAGCAGATACTCAGCCAACATAACCGTTGGAGGTTTTGAAATGTATTCATTCATAATAGGCATTAGCGATGTGCCATTATTACTCCAAGAATATTTTTCTGCTGAGAATTACTTTCTAAATGTGATCTAAAATAAAATCTGTTTTAATATCTGGAATTTGACAGATTCATTAATACACTGCTGTTAAGATGGAGTGTGTAGGTTTCCTTTGCAAGACAGCAGTGGATGAGAAAAATTACCGTGCTTGTCTTTACCCTTTAATATCCCCTGTGCCTGTAGGCTAATTTTAAGCCAAACATGGGTTACAACTGTGTTGTAACTCAGTGAACTGGTGCTGTCACAGCCTTTTCTCACCACTCTTGAGCACGTTAGCAGTTGTGAGAACAGAGTACAATCTTGCGTCCTTGCAACTGAATTCAAACAACTCTCTAGGGTGGCTTTCTTCGTAAAACTAAGATCTATGTTCAGATTCTGCTTGTGCTCCCTAGGCTTCCGTTACTTCATGTTGTGCTAATGCAGTGTTTCTACTTTATCACTGATGGTATTACATCTTTTACAAATAACATACGAAATCCAAAACTTGAGGCAGATTACAGGTGGTTTCAAGGAGAACCCTGAAAATAAATGGAGACCGAATGAAGTTAATAATGCAGAAAGTTAATAGTTCTAAATTGCATTATGTCTGGGATTTTTCATAATCCAAATGGAAACAAGTTCAGGAACAGTGTAGAGATGAAGGACAAAGATTGAATTGCTGTAACTTGGTGCAAAGAGATGGCATGGAAAAATTGGCATGGATGGAAAAATTAGAAGCCATCTCGTGGTGGGCATCTAAATCTTTCCTGACAAAGTATTAGTAAGTGTTGCAGGGAAGAGTTCTTTGTGAATAATGGAATAAATTTAATTAAAATAAGTATTGCCCTATTGTAATTTCCAGTTTTCTCTCATAAATGGGAGTGAATGGTCAGGGCTCTTTGATGCAAGAAACCTGCATCAAGCAACATTGCCTCTTTTGCCTTGAGACCTTGAGGCTTTATTCTGACTTGTACTTCCAACAGCTGTCAAAGTGTCACAATTTATAATGCTTTCAGTGGGACTTGTAAACCAGTCTTTGGACTGTTGCTGTGTCACTTCTCTATTTCATTTAGATTTGATTGGAGTATGTTCTCTTAGAATAAGAAATGAGTGCAAACATTGTTCTAATTGAGACAAATTTGCTTTTTTTTCATCATATGTATACTTATACACACAAGATAGATACTTAGATCTATCTTAATACCCATTACCTGTTTCATCTGTATTTCTTATATTTATTATATATCCCTATATATAAAATACATAGATACAAAACTCTTATTTTGTATATCCGATCAAAGATTCCTAAAATATTTTAAATAAAAGAGCTCACAAGGGTGTATATAGAGTAGTTTTGTTTGTAAGACAGATATCCCATTTATTTCTGTCTTTTTCATGTTTTTCACTGAACATTTAATTTACCGTTCTAGTCCATTTTGTTTCTCATAAAGCAGTTTTATATCTGAAGAGATGAGTTTAAGAATAACTTCATAAATTTTGTATCCTTTAGGAATAGGAGCTGTAATTGCATTTGGATCCATTTCTGAAGTTCCAAGCAAATACCAATTTTTTTTTTTCCCTCCTCTCCCATAGAAGTGCATGCAAAAGGAGATTGAAAGGATCGTTGTAGTTAAACTGCAGATGAAGAGCCAAGCAATTTGTAGTTCTTTTACACTGACTCACTCATGTTTCTTGCTGCCCCTTCAGCTTCCCAACTGCATTTAAACTGTGTGTACTGGAGCCAGAAATACTCTTGAAATTTAGTTATATATATATAATCTAAAAAAAATGTACTCATTCGACATGCAGCAGTAGGTGGTAGTTAAAATTTTGTGTGTGGGTGTATCCATACATATATAAGCATACATTTCTGTGTATGTAAATATGTATGTACCTTAGTCCTAAGCTGACTGTGAGGAGAAAGGAGGTGAAATGTCGGGAGACACTTTCCTAATGCTGAATTGTCTACCACAGGTTTCTGGTAGGAATTCTGCAGCATTCCTGTTGCAGCAGTTACTGGGTTGACTTTTTTTTTACTCATTTCTACCCAGAAGTCATGATTTCTGGCTAAAATTAGTTGCCAATGCCATGAGTTCTTCAGTAATTGCTGTTTTTTCTAATTTTTTGTTTCATTAAGATCTGGGTTTGGTTCTGTTGTACAAATCAGGTCTTTTTAGATGCTTTTGCCATACATGTCTTTATCTAGAGATCTGTTTAGTCTCCAAGTGGTCCAGCTAGAACATAACCCACTCCTCACACCTAAGCAGAAACCAGTCTACTGTAAATGACCTCAGGTGGAGGATTTCATATTCCTTGTTTCTCAAATCTGGATGTTGAGCTTTCTGCTTGATAGCTGCTGGTTTGTCTCTCACCCTGCCTGTGCCTGGTACCTCTCCTGGGGGGAAGAAACCTCCGGGCTGGCTGCTTCATCCTCCCATCTCCATAAAACAGAGTGGAAAATGCTGGGCACAAACTGCTCCCCCAAACCCCTTGTCAGTGGGTGATGGCACGGGGACTGCCATGTGGGCCTTCCGAAAGACTGTGGCTGTTTTAAGACACCCAAGTCAGAGTGAAGATGATGTGTTTGAGGTAGAGGTGCCGACCTGAAAAGCAAATTATTATATCCCTGTTTCTCGAAACTCCTGTCATGACAAAGCAGAATCCAAAAAATGTAGGTAATATATTTTGAAGTAACTTTGTATCTCAAACTATTCAGATCTGAATTTTAAAATATTTGCATTTAGGATTCTGAATATTTAGAGGAAATGACATTGCAGCCGTTCATTTTGTAAACGCCCTTTTTCAGGCTGTCTGGTATTTTTGCTCCCAACAGTTGTCTCTGGAGCACGGCATTTTCTTTTTTGTTTTGTCGTGGGTGTTTTCTTCTGTGCAGGAGGAAGGAAAACTCAGCAGCATGTTGTATCTGCGCCATCGGAGGGCACACGGAGGCAGCTTGGGCTGCGGTGCTGTCACAGACGGATGTTCTTCCTACCCGGCATCTGACCACCACCTGGATCTGGGCATAACAGAATGTGGCTTGCCTCATGGTGTCGCTTGTTAGCAGCACTTGGGGAAAAGAGAGAGGGTGCATTTTGGTGACGGGTGCGATACACCCTCTTTTTGTTCCCGAGGCCAAGAGGCAAGATCAGCCCATGCTTTTGAAATTGCGTCATGTCATGCTCATCCTGAAATAGTGTATAACTGACTAAGAGGTCGCGAGCGTTTGTCAGCAGTGGTGTTCCTTGCTGTTATCCACACCTTTAATGAAAATTTACCTTAAAGACTGTCTGAGGGACAGCCAGATGAAAGTGCTGGCTTTCAGTATAGCTGCAGAGCTTTCCCTGCATAGCTACAGCTCAGTCAAGTGACCTGCAAGCTCTGGCTGCCCTTGAGACTTGTCACAGCCTCGTGGCCCTCCTGGCTGTACCTGGGCACTTGCTGGAAGCTTTGTTGTGCTTGATGGCCAAGGTTGAACATCTTTAGGAGTGATAGTCAAGCTGGAAATTTCCAGGTTTTCTCTGTCTACATCTGTCTCATTTGTGCCTCGTCTCATCTTCCTGTCACTGTATATGAGACCTCCCAGGCTTTCCTTCCTTCTGGGGAAACAGGCTGCTGTCATTTTGCTTCTTTAGCAGCAGGGAAACTGAGGCATGACTGAGGCATGATAAGTCTCACTGTTGAGGGTTATATAAAAAGCTTTTCTTTAAGTCCCATGGCTCAGGAGCAGAAGATAGTGTCTTAACTTCAGCCAAGTCTTATTTTTCTAGGCCATCGAAATATATTTTCAAGGTCCAAAATAGGAGATTTAATTTCTCATTGTTTTTCCCTTGGCAGGTTAGGCCAAATTAATTTTGTCTGTTTGGTGTGTAAAACGTATGTTCAGGCTGATGTAATGATTGGGTAGTGTTGTAAATGTCCCGTTGTAGGGAGTAGTGTATTTTATAAGGGTTTGGTTTACAGTTTCTCATAAACTTGTGCCAAGTGAAGTTTTATGGTTTGTTCATACTTGCCATTAGGATAGTTAATATAGTAGATTTTTTTTACTGCAATAAATAATCAAAAAGAGTGCAGTCCACTTTGCACTGATAATTAAGCATCTGTGAGGTAAAACTAAAATAAATTTGTGCTATGTAGCATGGTAATCATGTTCTCTGGTTTTGCAACCCTCTACCAGGTTGTGCTTAAGGATGAGTGCTCATCTCTCGGATGCTGAAAAAAAGTAAAGTGCTGTACCCTTTTTGTTTTCAGAAAGAGCTGCTTTTTTTTTTTTTTTGTCAATGGTATCTTTTTTTCTTAGTTGCCTCCTCCAACTCTGACTCAGGAAATCCTGAAAGGCTTTTAAAACTTGTCAGTTTTTTCTGATAGTGAAAGCAGCATTGTATATGTGCCTGTTACACTGAATTGTTTCCTGATGAGACCCTATGCTTTTAATTATCAGTCTTGTTCTAGCATTTGGGGAAGAAGAGCCACAGGGCCCCTGCAGAATTGTTTTGCTGAGTAATTTGTTAGAGATCACTTGACATGTAGGAAGCATCCAATTCATTTCGTTCGCTCTCTAGCTCTTTTTATGTCTTTGTCTTTGACTTAAGT